CGTACACCAGTTATCCAGCCGTTGCTGTTCCCGCCCCCAGTCGAGTACCATAGTGACCAAGTAGCTGAGCCGTCTGAGCAGACAGAAGCCGTCCCACGGGAGACGGGTTTTCAGCCATCCAATCCAGCGGCTAAACCTTCAGTTAGCAGCCCACCGAGCCAGATTGAACAGGTTCCTGTAAGAAGATACCCTACCAGAGAGAGGAAGCCCCCAGCCCGACTGGACCCTTGAACATTGACCTACCCATTTCTAGGGCTCTGACTTTATTTTTAAGAATAGCATGTTGTGTTGGACTGTTGGGGTACGAGACTGGCATAAGGGGGAGGAGTTGTAGTGTATTGAGTCAGCGGTTGACATTATGAGCATGCGCACTTATGCGCATTCTGTTCCATGTGCTTTGATTTGCAATAAACCAAATACATGACAGTAACTAACCATGGACTTGCAGACCGACCCTTTCCGAAAAGGGTGTAGACAAAACCTGGATCCCCCTTCTGGATCCCCTTCTGGACCCCTCAATTTTTCCGGTCAAAAAAAAGTAAATTAAAGTTATACACAATACGTGTGCTACATACCAACGCTTCCTTCGCACTTTAGTTTCCTTCGATTCAGCGTTCAGCTCGAAAAAAGGTGTTCCCCTTCACGCAACGCATTTCTACGTTCTCGTTTAGTATTTCCGAGGGGAATCAAGAACATTTTAGCGATCAGCTACTCGGACAATTTCCGCTAAACTTGTCATTTTCAAGTTGCGTGGACTCCCGCCATCTTGTTTTCCGCCATGTTGTTTTTTTCCGCTGACTGGTACAATCGAGGCGCGTTGCTAGTGGCCTAGCCTGAATTTCAGCCGCCCGCCTCCGCTTGCTAAGTCACTCGGGGAGTGACTTAGCGAGTGGAGGAGACGGCTGAAATTCAGGCTACTAGCGGCCAAGTGCAAAAATGTTTCTGGTGTTTCAATCGCAAAAAATGTAAGACCTTTGTGGGAAAACGGCCTAGAAAATTGACGTTGGAAACCAGATTATGAGCTTCACCTTCGAAAGATTGATGGTGAGGTTGCATGTGCAGTTATAAACCAGCTAAAACTTCAGAGATGTCATTTAACCGTCCTATGTACTGGGCATTTGGGATCTGAAAGCAGGGTTAGTGAAGCAGGGTCTCTCACAGCGCGTAAGTTTTCAGTGTTTTAATTACAGTGTGATTTTAAGTATTGTTAAAAATACGATTGTACTTGGCACAACGTAAGCAAAAAGACAAAATAATAATAATAATAATAATAATAATAATAATAATAATAATAAAGAAACCAACATAAACAAATGCATTTAAATTTATTACTTGTAAAGATCGATATAATACAGTCAATGTTGATATTAAACTGAACACATTGTACAAAGTTTACGAATCACTATTTAGATTAAAATACTTGCTTTAGCCAGATTATAAATACATATCCTCCATCATCGCATCTCGTGTCGAGCAAGAGGAGCAACGCTCCTCGCTGGTACTGGTAGCTGGAAACACCAAGATGGCGGAAACCAAAATGGTGGAAGTCCATACAACTTGAAAATGACACGAAATTGTCCTAGTAGCTGATCGCTAAACAGTTCCTGATTCCCCTCGGAAATACTAAACGAGAACTTGGAAATGCGTTGCGTGAAGGGGAACACGTTCTTTCGAGCTGCACGCTAAATCGAAGGAAACTAATGTGCGAAAGAAGCGGTGGTATGTAGTATTGTGTATAACTTTATTATTTTTTTTTTCCACCGAAAAAATTAAAGGGTCGAGAAGGGGGTCCAGAAGGGGCCCCAGAAGGGGATCCAGAAGGGGCCCCAGAAAGGGAGGTTTAGGTTTTGTCTACATCCTTCCGAAAACGCTTAACGTCTTTTAGTGTGGGTCTACCGCGAACGGTTTGTTGGTTTGTATGTGATTTCATCGCCCTAGAAGTCATGAAATCCGAGCTAACTTTAAACGACAACGACTTCTGTAAATTCTTACCATGTGCTCAGCTGCCCTACTCTACGCATGCAAGATGCACAGGTGACGCATGCGCTTTAGAGACCAGACGGCGACGCAATCTCTTTCCCAGAGCCATCGTTACCCTTGTCCAGCGGAACGGGAAAACAAAGACGAAAATGCAGACTGAGGGTAAAATAAATATTAATTATAAAAAACGAGTCATAAGGATAAAATAACTCATTTACTGATGTTTTGCTAGATTAGCTTAAGTTGAATTTTGTACACGTCGAGGTTTGGCATCTCTTCTATCAAAATGGTCATAGTAACAATTATTTGAGAACGCCGAAATGTTATAATTTACCAAATATTATAATATACCAATTCACAAACCTCTTGATATATTAAAGTCGAGTACAAAGATTGAATGTCTTTCACAAACTAGGCTCGATAGACTGCCCCGTTGTTGTGCTGTCGTGTTTTGCTTGCCTTGTGTTCCGAATAATTCCAAGGCCATTTGAAGCAACGACTCGCGGTGGTTTGAACGTTATTAAGACTTTGTCGATGAAAATGCCCTGCAAGTTGGTCGGTCCCAGACCTAATTGCGTAAACAAAATTCAAAATGGCCGACACGTAAACAAAGGTAAGATNTGACAAAAGCAGTGAGGTCTGTATCAAAACAAGGTCAACTCCAGCCTCGCTGCCATCCAAAGGCCAGGTCTCTGAGCAGACAACTGTAAAATGGTCTATTACGATTAGTTTGGGCCCTTGTGGCAAACTTGGTTCAACAAAATGGGGAGTTCAAGAACTCGAGGTTGATAATGTAATGTTTGACTAAGGCTAATGTTTGACTAAGGATAATGTAATGTTTGACTAATGTAATGTTTGACTAAACTCCTTTTGGTTTGAGTTTTCGGGATTTTGGAAAAAAATTTATGGGTACACGTACAAACACTCCCAGGTCTGGTTTTTTATTATTAATATTTTAGTTTACCCTCAGTCAGCATTTCACCCCTGGTCTGCAGTCTGCAGTCTGCGTTTTACACTGACCGACGTGAATTAGATTCGAATATGAGAATGGCGATCGCAAGCTTTGTTAACGTTTCGCAAAATTTTGTGTCGGTAAATGTAATTTGTGATAATCGGCATAGACATAAATTAATATTTTGCCGACACGGAACAGAGAAACTGTGCGAGCGTAGTGCGCGAAGACTCATGGGTAGTACGTTTGTTAAAAGAGACGGTTGAGAAACTTGTGACATTCTACGGTTAGCCTTGCCACTAGCACTTTCACATAAGGTTTATTTTTATTGTTTTATTAACGTTATCTGATTTATATTTCATTCTGTTGTTTTTATATCAACCTTAAAACTCCAAACGTGGTGGTGCCACTGCATTTGGTCGGGGTACACGGTCCCTATTTTTCCTTACAAGAGATTTTTGGGTTTACGTGTCCGGCTTTGGTGCATGTAGGATATTATTTGATCTATCTCTTATCCGCTTTGTTTTAAGCTTATTGCCACAATTAAAACACATCTTGGGCCTGGCTGACCAACGAGGCCCATGCCTCAACCTTTGAGTGTGTTCGGTTGTGTAGTGAAGGCAAAAGGTTCCTTAAGAGCTTATGGTATAGTCATATGGGTATAGTTTGAAACCAAACACCTTTAGCTTCTAATGAAGGAGTTTATCTGTTTACAAATTACAACTCTCCAGTATATTGCCATCCATTCCTGTTGCTTCTCTGCTTTAGTTTAGCTGTTCTTTTCAGCCTATAAAAGTGATTCAAAACTATCAGAAGACCGTATAGATAAGTTGGGCTAACACCCAATGGAAAATAGATCCGCTTGAAAATACTTCAATTTCTTTATCACGTGTAACAAGTATGTAGTACATTGTTATAATTTCTGTTATCTTTCCCTGAGTAGCCACACCAGCAATAGTCTTTCTTTGTTTGCTGAATTTGAATCCTCCATTACAAATAACGGAATTTCAGAAAATTTAATATTTCTATGATTCTTAGTGAGATACTTACTTGTGGCAAAAGTATGGAACAGCTATTATCAGTGCTAGGAAAGACACAGCCAAGGCTCCTATACACACCCAGAAAAGGGTACGCAGTAACTCTGTGAAAAAAAGAACAATGTCAGAAAAATGGCAATACATCTTCAGATCAGAGTGATCGAATTTTCAATCAGCCGCCTTGCTGAAGATGGAAGAAAAAGAATCAATATCGTAAAACATGACACAAAAAAGATCATACCATCTCCTTCGTCTTCAGCTAACGGTGAAACTGAATGCAAAAGAAGAGAAAAAAGGAAATCAAAATACCCTGTTTGAGAAATCATTTATTTATTTTATTTACTTCACTTATTTGTTTATATATTATATATTATCCAACCCGGGCCGCAACCTCACAAACAAGATAGTCGCAGTATTCTTTGTTTTGTTTTATCGATTTCGTTTTCCTCTTGGATGGGGGGGTGGGGGGTNCATATAAGCAGGAAAATTAATGTCATGTAACTTAACTTACGTTAATTTTCCGGCTTAAATGTTGATAAGTTTAAAGTGATTATTATGTGAAGTACCTAACAGTGTCACTGACTACTTTGATCGATTTTTTTTTTTTTTGGGGGGGGGGGGGGGGGGGTGGGGGGGGGGGGGGAAGGGGGGAAAACTAAAAAAAAACTTTGTTGTATGTATCTTCATCTTTACTTTAGGAGGCGTTATTCAACAAATTTACAAAAAAATTATCAGGCAGTATAAAACGAATCACCATGTTTTGACTTGCGTTCACTTTTCCGTCACTAGATATAAGTTCTGATCGTTACATGTGAGTAGTCGCTGATAGTATTTCGTTATTTATCAGTTACATCCTTTCTTGATTAAGATGCACTTAAAATTATTCAGCAGACCAAATTTCCACTTAGATTTTAATTAAACTTAAAGTACGTATTTGATTTTGGCAAACATCGGGCTGATCGCAGATATCCTTGCCCTCGCAGAACTGAGATTGCGTTCATATCGCTTTGAAGCAAAAGCTTGTAAGATCACGCACGACGCCATCATCAGACCGTGTAGGTTAGAGGATGGTCTGTAGGTTTAACAATTCATAAAGCTGGGCGGCTGGAGTTATTCCCCTTCTGACTAACTGCACAGAATAATTTTTCCTTGTATGGATCACTGGTTTAATGATGCATTATTTGATGGTGTAATCCGTACCAATCTACTTTAGCTCTCAGATGTACTTTTGTCAGATATAAAATTCCATGCGATTAGTTTTAACATATATAGTGTCCTAGCCCTGTGGGAATTGCATGAAAACTACGGCAGAGTTTTGAAAAACGATATACCCAACCGCTATTCGTCCTCAGCAAAAATAAAGAAAAAAAAAAGTTATTTGTGTCGGATTTGAACCAGGGGCCCTAGGACGGTAATCCATTTCTGCACTCCTGCGTCCTACCAACTTAGCTATTGTATAGTTATTCCTTTCATACTCTAACGATCACAAAGGTCACAAAGTCCTCCTCAGAAGTACAGTTTGAAGGTAAAAGTTGGCCTTCTGCAGAAACCAAAAGTGCCAACTGCAATCGTATAAGATGTATAATGCATATTCCAAATTTCACTCAATTTTTGATGGGATGCTTAGCCCTGCTGCTAATATTGATCGTTCTGTTACTCAATGTCACCTGATTTTAACCCACTCATTCATCGGCTTCCTTGGCTTAGCATCAGGCCATATTCGACGAAATTAAAATTCACGGTGAAATTGTTTCAAATATTTTATCTTTGCAAGCATGCTATTTCACACCAGTATCAAGAGAAATGTTTCTACAACGTTACAGTTATCATTATTTTTACCGTTATGATTATGATTATGATCATAATTATAACAAAACTATAACAAAATTCTCGAACGTGATTGTCTATCAGCAGCCCGATTTGAGCATTAATTGGACAGTGTACGCGTCATGCTTGTAATTGGACAGTACTCGTCATTTTGCACGCGCTGTTGCGGTGCACTTTGTTGACTAAACTGCTATGTTTTTCAGCATTCATAACGACGTTTAATCGTTCAGCGCTCAATCGATGGTTTGTTCGTTTGTCGAATATTGTCATAGTTTTGATTAATTGGTAACAGGACTTCGCGTCGTCCAATTCAGTATGTAATCATACTCGTGATTAAAAAATCGGACTCCCGCTTCGCGGTCGTCCGATTTTGTTAATCACTCGTATGATTAAAGACCGAATTGGACCTCACTCAGTCCTATTACCATTATTAATCGTATCTATAACAAAATTCTCGATCGTGGTTGGTTCTCCGCGCGCCTATTTGTCACGTAATCGGCGAGCGATCACGTGGGTGTCCAAATACAGGTATCCAACTTTTTGTAATTGGATACCCACGTGATCCGCACGTATATTACGCGCGCTTTAATAGTTTCCTTTTTAATGTTTCTACAGTTTTTAAAACTTATAGAAAGCGCTACTCAGTTTTTCGCCCAAAAGAAGTTCTCCAAAGACGTTTTTAATTTCGAAATTTGCTAAAGATACGATCAATTAGTAATTGAACCTCCTGTCGTACAATTCATTGAGAAATCGTGCTCGTAATTTCAAATCGGCCTCGCGCTGCGCGCTCGTCCGATGTTGAATTACTCGCACCCTAGAGTGTCCTTGACATGATTATTGTATAATCTGCAGCTAGATTACGTCACAGGCGCTGATTTCGAAAATTCACTGTGCGCTTTCGGCCAATCAGAAAAGAGATAGTGAGTTCAATGTATAATAATTCCCTGAATTGTACTCCACACGGTCTAATTACTTTTAATGATTATAACACATACCATTTGAACAGTTTTTGCCCTCGAATCTTGCTGTACATGTACAACTATAATCGTTAATTAAGTTGGTGCACACACCGCCATTCTTGCAAGGCGTGGCACTACATTCGTCAATATCTGAAATGCGAAAACAAAGCAGCACCTCGTTTAAGAACGCATAAACAAGCATTACATTGAAACTGCAGTAGGTAGGATAGTTTTCAACAGAAAGTACATGTATTGTGGTTTTTCGGCACTGCAATTTCGTATATCCGAAAAGGCATGTACGATGGAGTAGAATACTATGTCTGTATCTCATTGTCAATAAGACTATAGCGGATTGAAGTACATTTTTAAAAAATAACCCCCGTAAAGAAATCTTTCAGAAATGCATACGAGCAAAGGGAGCGTTAGTATCTCAAACTGAATATCAAAATAGAACCGTTGGAATAAATTTTACTAAGAACACGTCAGCACTTAGCTTCATAGTGTTACGCATGACTCACGTGACAGGGTGAACAGGTCAGCTTAGTACAGAGCTTACCGTCACTGCAAGTCTTTCCGGTGAAACCAGAAACGCATGCACATTTGAAGTCATTGACGAGATCCTGACATTTTCCATTGTTTTTACATGGTCCCATTGCACAATCGTCGATATCTGAAATAAGAACGCGTCATTTAATTATGTGGCATTGCACATTTGCAATTCTTTGCCTGCTTCAATTATTATTCAAGCATAAATGGTAAGCAGAGAAATTATTCCCTGACATTAGCCACCACTTGAACAGTTTTTGCCCTCAAATCGTGCTGTACATATACAACTATAGTCGTTTAATATCTTAAATGCGAAAACAAAGTAGTACCTGGTTTAAGAAAGTATAAACAAACATTACATTGAAACTACAGTAGGTAGAATGGAATTTAAGAAAACAACAAGTTCGTCATAGAAATTGGACTTGATTTGATGGCTCGAGAAGCAGCGCAGTTTTGATGATAAGGACTCACTAAACTGACTTACTTGCGCTGCAGTTTCTTCCAGTAAATCCAGAGGCGCAGGTGCAGTTGTAATCATTCACGAGATCAACACACGTGGCACCATTTCGACATGGCTTAGGGGCACATTCGTCAATATCTGTAAAGAGGAGAAGGGGAAGAAAAAGTTAATAAAATCATGCTTGGGCGATCATCATGATTGTCGTCATAGTATGATAGGTATCTTGATCTGCTGACCATCTATTGTATGCTTACAAAAGTAATGTCAGGCAGGCAACAAACTGTATAGTTTACAATTCCTTGCTTGCTTCAGTTATTATTGTAAGCATAAATAGATAGCAGAGGAATGATTGTATCCTGACAAAAACCTCTTTCTGTGTTAGTTTCTGTCATAAAGGATCATTTCTTATGTGTATTAGGCATATAGATCTTACCATTGTTCAAGATAGTTATCCTTGCGGAGCCACTGGGTATGGTAGTTACTTTGTCTAATGACATCAAGGTCAAAAGGAAAGTTTCGTTTTTTTCAGGACGGTTATCTTCCGTAACATTCACTGAGATTTCGGCAGACTTTTCTCCAGGCTTGATTATGAGCTCTTGATTTAAAGAATGATCAAAGTCCAAGCGGAATATGGCATCTTCATTCATTGTTTTAAATCTATTGGGGAAAAAACAGATAGAAAACAATAGGAACCCTTTGTTTCCCAAAGAAAAAGGAATAACACAGTTTTCTCTGCCAGGGCCGTAGCCAGTATGAGGCAAATCGAGGTACTTGCACTTGCCTTTTTTTTAAAATCGTTTTTGCTGTTTATTTGTTTGTTTGTTTGTTTGTTTGTTTTTTTTTCGAAGGGGAGAGTAAAACACTGCTAAATACCCAGGAAGAGAATTTAACCATAGTCATTGCCTGAGTAATAATTCGTGTTGTTTCTGGGTACAGCTCTGGGTGTATGATATTAAAAGAGCTGTCCGGGGTTCAATGCAGTTTTACAATGTATATAGTTATTGCCTATATGACGTTTGTACTGTTCTATTGTTTACTTTTGAAGTTTATTAAACATGGTGCAACCCCACCTCTGTTGCAGGTTTGAGATCAGTTACTCAAAAAGTCGTTGAAACCAGTACAAATGTTGCCTTAATATTTTTTTTGTAAACGAACAGCACAAAGGAGCAAGGAAGTTATTAAACACTAATATAAAGCGATGGCCAAATATATATCACGTACTATTAATTGCCTGCTTAACAAATTGACGCCAGTTTTTCATGCTTTTGTCCTGTTATTGATCATGAATTTCGTCATAACGTTGTCAAAGTAGCTGGGGATCCACGAGGCGATAGCCGAGTGGATCCGCAGACTACTTTGAAAATGTTATGACGAAATTCATTATCAATAACAGGACAGACGTATGAAAAACGGAGGTCAATTTGTTTTTTACTATAACAAAGTGTCAAATTGTACGCTCTCGCTCTTGACGCATCGCATAAATTATAAATTCATGTGTCTGTCCGCTTATTGACAATGAAAAATAGCCAATGAGGGCGCGAGAATCTCTGCAGTTATCGTAAAAAATCAGCCTGTGAAATCTGCCAGTCTCTCGGCTGCTTTTAAGGCGTGTTTGTCTGAAGGATAATGTCTTATATGAAGAGATAACGTCTTTGGACATCCTTTCAGGTAAAACTCCAAAACGAATGTTTACTATCAATGTTACTTTAAGCGTAGTCAATAGGGGGAAATAGTTATGAAGCCCGACAAAATTTTAGTTCGCTTTTTAGGCCTTGACCGTGCATAAACCACACCTTGAAGTTGTTTACTTCTTTCTGAGGTACTAGCCAATAGAAACGTTTTGGTTACCTAATTCATGAACAATGCATTAGCACAAACAAAAGATTGTGCACGGTCTTGGATCCTACAACATAAATCTTGTCAACTTTGCTTGCTCCTTTGATAATTTCTGGGCTTCCATTTCCCTCTGTTAAATACTATGATTTAAGATATAGTTTATCCTTACGTTAGCACAGAGGCTATGAGGACATTTCCATCCCGCACAACAGGAACTATCAACTTGCCAACATCTTCATTAACACTCACGTTGGCGTTGACAAACTTTGCTTCCACCATAAAGCGAGTGGAGGCTTTGAGGACGAATAAAACAAGAATCAATGTTACTCAGACACAACTTACTTTCCTAATTCGCTCTATTAAATAGCAATGCCAGTGATATTACTAGAGCAGTTCTGTGTTTTTATTTCGTTGTATTCTTTTGTTACTTTGTAATGCACTCTAGTAGTTTTATTGAACGTGTAATTTGCCTTGCTTGGTTTACTCATTAAAAATTAAAACATATACTCATAAGATTCAGAATAATTACTTTAATTATTTAGCCTACCTTTCCTGGTGCAGAAGCAGCCGTACGGCCCATTTTAAGGCAGTGATTAGAAGTCAATGTCATTAGGAGCAATCAGTTTGTTAGAACATAATTATCTCAAGATCAGTAGAAGAAAACTTGTCCGGTAAGTTTTTCAGTCCAAGCTAGGTTTGTCGTTGACAATAAGCAGCCCGTTAGAAAGTTAACTAAAGTTTCAAACGGTATGCACAAAAGAAATAAATTGTCCCTAAATAGTAGACATTCGAACCTTTGAGCTCCAATTAGATTCAAGTTCTTTAACCTCCAACTGAGCAGTATTTGGAAATATCTGAAAAAGTACGACTTTTGAAATAAACACCTGCCAGTGTGGGACTAACTTGACCCTTCAATCACTGAACCTCGATCTCAAGTGATTTCTTGACCGGGCATAACACATACGACCATTAAGTTGATATAAGCGCTCAACCACCTGAGCCTTTGTTTTGAACTAACCTTGTGTTCGACTTTCCTGTTCAAGCTGTTGTATTTCCTCCCCTGTTATAGCATCATTAATGATCTGAAAATAGCTGACACAGATTTCTTTTATGTTTCCAGTTGAGGCTAAGGAAACGTTAACAGCTGATCCTCTGTTATTCCAGGGAATGGCTGCAGTGGGGTCTGTCACCTTTACACTGTTCATATACAGGTCAAGTTCTTGAAGGGACTGTGAGTAGACGATTGCAACATGTACCCACGTGTTTACACCGGGGAATAGCCCTTTTCTCTCAAGAAGAGTGGTGGAATTCCCGCCTACAATGTACGCCTGTCCTTCTAAGCGTGATACAGTTCGAGTGACGGTAAACTGTACGTGAAACAATCCTTGATTTAAGGGAGTAGAATACAAGATATGTACGTCTTCATTTTCAGCCACTGCCCCATTCACATAGGCTAGGAATGATATTGTAAAATTGTCGCCAGAATTGGAATTTCCTAAGCATTGATCGGCAAAGGGACCCAGAACTACTTCCTTTTTCATTGGTATGCAAAGTCCATGGAAGTCGTTCCTTTCGGTCGCATTTGCGCCAGCTGGCAGCACGTTGCTTTGAAAAGATTGGTTGCTTCCGGTATCATAGCCGTAAATACGGCTAGCTCCAGTTGGAAACAAATACCACAGGTAAGAAACTATGAAAAACAAAACAACAACATCCAATTGATCATGAACAATTCAAAAAACAAATAACTTTTAAGAATCGAACCAGACTTGCAAACACAGAATCATGTCACTTGGTGAAATTAATGGCAGACTGAATAAGTTAGTGAGTCTGTGTGTATGTGTTTTAGAACAATTTCCCAATTCGTTTCTTTCCAAGTTTATTTCTGGCATTTTAAACCAAAGAGTGCTATTATAGAGATTGTCGTTTGGACGGTACACATGAAATATATCCATGATGGTTCAGCGAATGAACTCTTGAACTGTATTATCCAATGATCCAGTTTTTAATAAGACTTAACATAATTGTCACGTCTCAGTTTAAAAGTCACAGGTTCGGAGTGAGAACTGGTAAGGCGCAAGGCTTGCTGTTACATTTAAAACTTAAGACGGGCAACAGAAAGAAAGCTTTTTGCCCGGCAAATATACCTGACGGCCGTTGGCTGAGAATGCTCGACTGCCAAAAAAGAGAATATTGAGAATTTCAAAAGCGATGCTTTCAGGCGTTGCTTCAAACATCCCTTTGGCTCTTTTTTTAACGTTTTACCTTGTGTACAGTTTCTTCCAGTGTAACCAGGGATACACGTACAGTTGTAGTCATTCACCAGATCATTACATGTTCCCTGGTTTTGGCACGGGCTCTCAGCACAATCATCAATGTCTGTAAAAAAGAGCAAGGCGTACGTTTTCTTCAATGGTGATTATTATTGAATTTATAATAGATTCTACATTTATTATTTAAAGAGCAAAATATCGCGATTTGCCAATTATTTATCGAAGCCGAAGGCTGAGGTAACTAATTGATCTGCGAGACAGATCATTGCGATAACCGAGTTCAATAGTTGTGTTTTATTATGTGGCTAGCTCCGTGAGCGGGCAAGATGAATCGTCCTGCGCTGTGATTGGCTACCCGAGCGGGCAAGATGGAGCTATCTTGCCCGCTCCTGACTACCCACCGTGTCCCGCAAGAAAAATTTCCCCGAAAGCCATATAGTAAATCCTTTATTAACCAAGCTTGTTCGGTCAAGATGGCTTGATATTGGTCTCGTTCTTTTTTTGCGAGTTTATGGACCTCGACTCCGTCTCGTTCCATAAACATGCAAAAAAAGAACTTGGCCAATATCCAGCCATCTTGAACTCACACTTGGTCAATAACCCATACATCACTCGACTCTTGCAGCTTAAGGAAGCGATCCTCCATTTTTCACAACGTGAATTATGCACGGGCTGAAAAGTATTTGCAGCAAAAGACATTTAGACGGTATTACGCATTAGCAGACCATTATTTGTAGGCAGTTATTTGCAGGTCACGTGTTGGACCCTCGGCCAATGAAAAGAAAGCAAAAAAACAAAACGTGCATGATAATGGCTGGTATTGCTCGAGTTATCAGCGGTTTGATACACAATCGAGGCAACTTGGTTATTGTGCATCGCATTGACCCTTTAGCCTCATACGTGTCTTCTTGGCGTGCTCAACTGAGACTGAAAAAAACTGTTAGCTAGGATACGTGTTAGTTATCACTGTTCTTACCATTGTCTAATATAGTAACGTTCACAGTCCTTTGTGAAAAAATGGTTACACTGTCCGATGGAGATACTGTCACTGAAAAGGCGTTATTTTCTTCAGGTACTTGGTCGTCCATTATCACTACCGAGACGTTTCCAAATGTCTCTCCAGGCCGAATAACAACTTCTTGACTTGACGACATGAAAGTTTCATTCTTTATGAAAAATCTTTTGGAGAGATAATATCAAAATGATCATTTTACTATTTTTAAAGAAGCCCAGTTAACTGGTTGCGGGCTTTGAAGTCTGATAAACACACATCCCTGGTGTGTCTTTAATTAGAGGTCACAATATACTTTAGATGGGAAGGATCATCAATGTTTCATCACATTATAGTATAAAAATGAGTTATTTACAATTTTCGGACATAACATAATATAGTGACAAATAAACGAAACAAAATAATCACTTCAGTGAAAGGTAAGAGGACAAAGGGTATAAATTGCAAAGATGACGAAATTCCACTTATTGAATCCTCTGAAAACTTAGTCTCACTTACTTTACTACTGATGCTATCAACAGGTTTCCAGTTCGTGACAAGGGGATTGTGAGCAAGCCAGTGTCTTCGCTTTCGGCTATGTTTTCTTGGCTCAACTCTAACTGTGCCATCGATGGGCTGGTAGCTTTTGGAAATGACAACTCAGAATTAAATCATCGAAACAAGTTTTCACAAATTTTGTATAAATTATAGGAAAAATCAAGACATAATTCCTAATTTTAAGAGGAACGTTTTTAAAATGTTTGCTGCTGTAAACTAGAGCAAATGTTATTTCCCGCACGCTGAGGAAAACGCAAAGTGTTAAGTGTCGACGTACGTTTTTGGCGGGCGACGTGCTTCTTGCCCTAGCTAAGTTAACTTGCAGCAAGTAAAGAGTACCCGTGAATAAATGAACTTTCTCGGCCTCACCGTGTGGCTAAGACTTTCACCCTTAGACTGAACACAAAATTGTGCATATCGGAGAAACATGACACATATAGAGGACCGTCATGAAAAGTAGCAAAGACTCTAGCTGGGCGGATGTGGCTGTCCCCCTAAATATTGTAATTCTATTTATTTTCATTCAAAATATTAACCTTGTTGTCGAGTTTCTTGCTCCAATTGCGCTACTTCCTCCGTAGATAAGCTGCCCTTGATGATTTGAAAGTAGCTGACAAAAATATCACGTTTGTTTTGAGTGGAACCTAAGGACAATTGAACGGCTGATCCGTCGTTTTGCCAAGGAGTACTTATTACTGGATCTGATGCAGTAACCATCACACTGTTCATATACAAGTCCAGACTTCCAGAAAGTGAGTACACAATAGCAACATGAACCCAAGTGTCAGTTGCAGGAAATTCTACTTTTCTCTCCAGAAGGGTTGAAGAGTTACCACCAACAATAAAAGCATGCCCCTCAAGACGAGCGAGTTTCTTGGTGACCATGAACTCGACATGGAACGAACCTCGACTCGATGACTTGGTGTCAAGTACATGCACATCCTCATCCACATCCAGTTGAACTGACCCATCGATATAAACTAGTAATGAAATGGTAAAACTATCACACACGGAACCATTTTCTAAACAAGGATCTGCAAACTGTCCTAGGATGACTTCGTTGGCCTTTGGAACGAGGAGGCTATATGAATTGCCCTTGATCGAGACATTTATTTCAGGAGACAGTTCGTTGCTTTCAAAAGACTGATTTGTTACTGGTTCATAACCGTAGACGCGGTTTGCTCCAGTGGGAAACAGGTACCACAGGTAGGCATCTGCAAAATGAAACACATCAATACATCACAGTTGTTTGGAAATTTTGATTAAATTTTTTTCGCCATCTTTAGTATTGAGATGCGCGGTTTGATGTGTGGCATATGCGCGCTGTTATATCAATTAAAAAAAAACGCAACGAGTTAAGTTGTCCACATTGCCATATGTATCAAGGGTCTTTTACACTTGTCATTTTATAGATTGAAAGTCAAGTGAATGATTTCTTGCTGAAATCACCACCGAGCCAGTTACCACAACGACCAATCAAAAATGATATGAGCATTCATGAAAACTATAGGATTAACCAGTGACAGTGAATTAAGCGATCAAACTTGTGATCAGAAGATAATATCATACCTTGGCTGCAGTTCTTTCCACTGAATCCTGGAGTACAGCTACAGTTGTAATCTAACACCAGGTCAGTGCATGTTCCATTGTTTTTACATGGACCACTCACGCATTCGTCGATATCTGGAATATATCGTAAAGAACTGTCGGCTAACGTAAATAACTTGACTATACGAAAAAAGTTGAGACGCCCCGTGTCAGCCTGTGTTATAGTCAAGTATTAGAGGTACCGTCACCTCGTGCTTATTGTATCGGACCTGAGATCATTTCGTTCATTGCCTGATTTCAAACCGAAAAGGACTAGGTACTAGTCTGTGAATTATGGGATTAGCAACTATTGATCCCCGAGGTGCAGACCAAGCTTTGAAAAATCCCCAAGTTTGGTGTACATAGACCCAATAGTAGGCAAGATACAGCCATTTGAAAACGTCAAAATAAGAAATGTATCGCCATCCGGACGCTGTGTCCGGATGACCAAACATTTCTTTGTTAATTTTGACGTTTTTAAATGGCTGTATCTCATTTAAAACTAGCCCGATTAACGCCAAACTTTGAAATTTTGTGAATCTCGGTGTGCTCTTTCTGACTATGTGGATCAATAATTGCTTATTTCATAATTTACAGACTCGTACCTAGTCCTTTTCGACTTGAAATCAGGCAATGGCAATTATTACTCACGAGATAAATATAGAAGTTACCTGCCGAGGTCCATCGCCTCATTTAAGAGGATACTGTAGTTGCGGGCTGATAAATCAGTCTCCACGAGCAGGTATATTTAATACAACTGGTGTGAAATGTTAAGCTAGGTGTTACTGATGTGGCGCCCAAGAGTTTTCAGAACATTTCAGTGATACTACAATAATTGCATCAAACAAATGCATCATCATTGTAGCATCAACTTAAACGGCAGCCAGCATTGACACCTCAGAGTAAAAGAACTGAAAATTGCCGGAAACTATCACGAGCTACTTAATCGGATTTCTTTTTAATATTTTTCCGGAATACGTTGTTCGCGTGACTAAGTGATCACTGTTACGTTACTTTCCATCCTTTCGGTGTGACCTGGTACATTCTATTTATTTCAATCGGTGACAGCCGTGAAAGAAAAAAAATAAACTGTCCATAAAACATTGTACCCACCGTCATCAAGTATGAAAATTTGAACAGCTCCAGGAACATTTGTAACATCGTCATCTGAATTTAACGACAGGGCAAAGGATTCATTCATTTCTGGTTTAGTGTTGTTTACAATTTGCACTGATAGACTCTTTAAGATCTCTCCAGGTTTAAAGATCAGCTTTCCATTCTGAGAGTCTTGAAAGGTAAAATCAGAAGATGAGGCAGTACCATTTGATAAGGAGTACCTGAAGGGCAAAACATATATACTCGTGAATAAAAGTATTCAACCGAACAGTTCCATTCACTTACTTATTCTTATCAATAGTTTTCTTAATAACGAGAGTGGTAAGATAGTTAGTTTCGCTCTTAACGGATATACCTGGTAGTATCGGTGTCAATGTTACGTTTGTGTTATGTGCAGTTTATTGTCAGCGGACTTACATCACTATTGATACCAGTGCAAGGTTGCCTTCTCTTTCAATGAAGATAGTTACTGTTCCATCTGATTCACTAAAGACTCTTGACGACTGGCTTACTGTTACGGTTGTTCGATTGGGAGTTGTAGCTGAAATATATAACCAAGTAATAATTACGTTTTTCTTTACTGCAACTGCTCAGGTTTCCTTACACAATCTGTTTTAAATCAATTGTATATTTTAATGGTAACATTTTTAAGTTTAGAACTCCCTCAGCACCTTTTATTCACAAAACAATAACACTCCCAGCTGAAACACAGTTTTCTATTGGTCGAGAACATATCATGTGACACATCCCAAAACTGTGCATACTCCCCAAGACAACAAAACTCACTGACTAAAAAGCTCGAAAGATCAAAGCTGAGAATAAATGTATGATATTTCAGTCCAGTATTCATGAGAAAATTTAGAAATGAACAAAAAGGACAATAGAGTCTGTTCGAATCAGTTATTATTATATGGCTGTGTCTCACAAGGACTGGGAACTACCGAATTCAAGAATTTGATTGGCTGAAATCAATATTGAAAGCGGTCTAGGTTTTCCCATCTATAGACCAGCATCTAGACCGGTTACACTTTGCGGTGAAAAAGTTGCAAACTAAAATGTAAAATATTGACTATTTTCTTCTAACAATATTTATTTATGGAAGTGCCTAAAAGTTTGATGAGAAAAAAAAGTAAAGAGAACGAGGAAACTTTGGCAAAATTAAGTTCGGCTCATCGCCGTTCGCAAGCAAGATGTCAGCTAGTAAGAACAAATTACATAAAGCGAATCAAATTGTTCTTCTTTGCCATATAATAAACATCTCATTAACCGAGCTTAGTCGGTCTGTATGGGAGAATCTTGACCTCAGTCGTGTGCACAGACCTCACTGCGTTCGGTCTGTACTCACGACCTCGGTCAAGATTCTCCCATACGGACCTCCTGCTCGATTAATAAGAGCTAAGGATTAACCATGACTTACAATCGACCAAAGAACCTTTCCCTTCGTATTATAATTATCATGCAAACTATCATCACAGCAACTCTCTGAATTTTGGCATCAAAGAAACGTACTTGCAAAACAGTTTATTTTACCTAGAACTAAACTGGAGCTTAGTAAATGAACAATGCCTCCGTTAAAAAGTCCTCTGTAAACCCGGTTTATTCCACTAGAAATGTACAGTTGACTCCCAATGACTCAAACCAGCGCTAGTTCGAACCCAAGTTGATTCCACCGGATTTGCTTTTTACTTTATTTGTTCTTACATTTACTGTAATTTTACTTCAGGTCAAACGTTGCATGTGCCCTCAATAGTTCGAACCTCACTAGTGAGTCATAGATCTCCTGAATAAACCGAAAGAGATTGGCTGTAAACCGCCAGGGACTATTTACAGACTATTTGTGAAATTAGTAGTAACTCATTGCAACCAGGTACTCATTTAACTATCCTTTTTTATTGCCCCTGTTTTTTGTTTGTTTTTTCTTCCCTTCAGATCTGTTATGATTTGCAATGTATGCAAAGTATCGTTTCAGTTTTACCTTCTTCCTGTAGTGAAACTGATCAAAAAACAACCCGTCTTATTTTCTAATATGTGGCCATTTGTTACCATCTCCCGACAGTTCGCGCCTTACATAATTTCTCTTACAACGTAAAGGTACGAGTTATCGAGAGTCAACCGTGGTTCCGAGACACGAACATGAAATAACCAGCAAGAAGCCAATCTCAATTATATGATAATTACAACCTACCTTGAGTGAAACTCTGGTCTTTCAATGCTGTTACATCAGCTTGACTGATCGCGACTCGAATAATTTGTAAATAACTCAGGAAAAAACCGTTCGAACTATTAGAGGAACCAAGGGTCATATTGGCTTGAGTGGAGCCGTTGAAAGCGACAGAAGAAGCATTTGATTGCTCCTTGGTACCGTTGAGGAAGAGTTCCAAATAATCTGCTTTGGTATAGACAATTGCGACATGAATCCATCTGTCTATTTGTTGAATTACACCTGTTACGTCTGTTCTGTAAGGACCACGAGCTACAGTGGCACCACCCACGTAATGGGAGCCATTGTTATGGACACTAAACTGAAAAAGGTATTCCGCATCAGCTAGTGGCATTTGATGGATGACGTCTACAGTATTATTTTCTGGAATTGATCCGTTGATCTTAAACAAAAACGAGACAGTGAAGTTTTGACAGACTCCAGCATCTGCGAGACAGCTAGCAGAAAACTGTCCAAGGTTGACCTTTTCTCCTGCTGGCACCCAAATCCCATTAACATTATCGTCAGTGGTAACTCTTAAATCACTGGGGAGAACCTCGCTTTCAAACGATTGGTTAACCTGTGGTTGGTATCCATGTAAACGATTTGTAGCATTTGGAAAGAGGTACCATATGTAGCGATCTGCAAAGTAATAAGCACCGTTCAAATAACTTTTTCAGCTGTTTAAGAAATGCAAGTCGCCTAACGTGCAATTACTCGTACGAGGAAGTATGATCATATCAAGCCTGTTTCAAAGCAGCTACACTGGCTTCCAGTTAGACAGCGCATTGATTACAAGATATTACTTCTGACTTATAAAGCGCTTAATATAACGGCCAGGCCCCTCGCTACATTACTGAACTGCTAGGGCCCTATTTACCAACCAGGAATTTGAGATCTTCCTCTAAAATCTTACTGAATGCACCACCTCACAAGCTAGTAAGATATGGCCATAGGTGTTCCTAATTTGTAGCAGCCAGTCTATGGATCGGAACTCTCTTCCCGATGATATCATGCAGAGTAGCTCGCTACTGGAATTCACGACCCATATGAAAACGCAACTTTTTAATAAATGTTATAACTTAGATTACCATGTAACATAGTCCTCACTTGAATTTTTATTGTTATTATTAGGGTAATTGAGAAATATTTAAATTCGTAACGTTTCTAGCTTCCGCTATAACTGTAAAATTTGTAATCGTGAACTTTGGACTGTAATTATTGTAAAGCACTATTAAGCTAATGGGAAATAGCGCTATATAAATAAGGTATTATTGTTATTATTATTGTTATCATTATCATTATCATTATCATCATCATTATCATTATCATTATTATTATTAGTAGTAGTATTATTATTTATGGTCTCTTGTATCTTCTACTTCTAGTTACGACAAAATCTTATGTTTTTTGTAGCAGGATGCGGGGTGGCCTCGCTGGAGACCACACACGTACCTTAATGTGCCACTCTGAATAAACAAAGTCTACTTATTTTTCTTCCTATGTATTGAAGTTGTTATTTACAATAAAGCGATTGATTTTTATTTGTGATTGAACTAACCGAAATTATAGTTCGCCACTACGTTTTCCTCTCTCATCATTGGCTAAAACTGATCACTTGGTACCATCTTGAACAGTCAGGCGATAAAATGCCCACGGGCGGACTATCAGATGTTAGTATATGCCACACAAGTGAATAGTACTTTTCGCGCGCTCTGATTGGTTAACTCGGAGGTGATTAGCAAGTACTATTCACCTCCGAGCAGCCGGCGCAAGGGATTTTAAACTTTCCGACCGCTTGTCACACATAAAATAACGTTTTGGTCCGCTAATTATTCAGCTTGTGTGGTAAATACTAAAACAATTATTCACCTCAGTGTCGGTGATGGATATTCACCTCGAAGCTTCGCGGCTCGTTAAATATCCACCACTATTCACCTCCACTTCGGTGAATAATTGTTAATTATAGCTCACCACTAAATTTTCTCCGATTCTTACTGGTTTAACTTGATCACGTGACGCGATAGTGTTCATCCGCGGAGAGACGCTAGTGCCCCTCCTAGGAAAATACCCGAATGGATAGTACTCGTCCGTGAAAATATTTCTGTAAACAAGCGCGGACTTATAGAAAGCAAACAATTGAAATTGTATTAAGAGTCCCTGTCTATAAATATGGAAAATAACTCGGCAAGGGTCGAAAATTCGATTTCGCTCACATTTTTATAGTGAATAGGCTAGGACCTGACAAACACTACTGGATAGTTTTTTTGGCAAAATATCCTTGTATTTCAAAGAAATATGCAAATTACCAAATTCCGTTTAAATCGTCATTTGACGCACCATTTTATTAAACAAGTTTGAGAGCCTCGCATGCAAAACCACATCATTGTTCCGTCTTAGCTTTAAAACACTCAAATATTTTTGTGCAATGTTTAAATGTGTACTGCGTTGATTTTAGGGAATGTTGTCTTGTCTTTTTAATTTGGGTGCAAAATAATTAAATTTCGAAGGCATGGATTTCATTCACTTAAAAGTACTTCGTGAATATTATTAATTTTCACCATGTGCGAAACCTTCAAATGGATTAAAGCTTCTGGTGGTTGAATCGCAGAAGGATGGTCTACAGATTCCTGTAAAAATTTCTTTGGGTAAATGATTGTGAGCGACGCGAGAGCTTTTCAAAGTACTTTAAAAATGCAAATATTTGACCATCCGTCGTCAAATTTCAATTTACGGGTTAGACGTATATTTTAGCATGCGCCACACGACTTGACCTATATTAAGTTGAAATAGACACGGAACTGATAATTTCCAAATGTTCTAACCTCATTTGCTGTAAAAGGCAGGTCCAAAGCCGATTTGACGTGTTTCTCTCACCATTCGTCGCACATAAAGCAGAAGTTTGCTTTTGTTTACATAACGTCCGATGTACATCGCCAACTGCCGACTTATTTAATGGTCGAATACAATGAATCTGTGACCCTCTTTCGACACATATGATCATCAATGCATCTAAGTAAAAAACGGCTAAGTCATTTGTAGACATAGTTGCTTGCTTTGCACTACATCAAGATATTACGTTTGATCATCATGGTTTTTGGCCTGGATCCTTGCTTGCAGCGGTTCCTTGTTTCTTCGTCACGCAATGCTGTCAGCCCATTTTAGGGGGTAAGGGTAGGACGATTTCTATCCGTAAAACGTAAGGTTCCGAAAGGCTTCGAACCACTGGGAGCACACAATCTTGTTGAGTAGGAAGAGATTAAATTAAGAAATGAAAAGAATGAATAGTTTACCATTGCCCCTGTTGTCATCTTTTACTCGACCACCGCTACCTAAATACCCTGCGTAATACTGTAACGGTAACCTCGTACCTAGGTCTTTTCGCGCTGTGCAATTATTTTTGGATTACATATAATAAAGTGGGCTACCCTCGGGGAAATGGGTGGTGACCGCTCAATAGGGGTTGGCCGCTTAACATAGGTTGGCGTGCCTTGAATATTTAATTTTTCACTATCGGGTTAAATTTCTTGGTGAACATGGAGTCAATTGAAGACAATCACGATAGACGTGTGTTTGAATTATCACTCGTCACCTTCAATTTCAGACTCTTATCTGCCATCGACACTAGCTTTATCAGCTGTTGTCTGAAACATCAGAACGTACAACAAAAGTGATTTGGACCGAGGCCACGTACATTATAGAATACGATTATTTAAATATACACATATTATTATATATATGAACAGATGGACAATGAATAAATTGTTTCACTTATCCTGAGAGTGCTCCATACGAAAATAGATCAAATTTTGCAGCATATGCCGTGATGGCATTGCGTGACGAACAAATAACGGCTAGAAGATTGTGCTGCGCCGACACGCTTTTCAGGAATGGTAAGCAATCGATTACAAGTAATTTTTGGCGCAGTGCAAAGCAAGCAGCTATCTACAAATGACTCAGTCGTTTTTGACTTAGATGCAGTGATGATCATCTGCGCCGAAAGATGGTCACAGATTCATTGTATTCCAATAGTAGGTTGACAGTAGGCCATGTACATTGGACGTTAACGTTGTGTAAACAAAAGTAAACTTCTGCTTTATGTGCAACGAGTAGTGAGAGATCGGCTAGAAACACGTCAAATCGGCTTTGGACCTGCCTTTTTACAGCAAATAAGGATGGAACATTTCGAAATTATCAGCTCTGCGTCTATTTCAACTTAATATAGGTCAAGTCATGTGGCGCATGCTGAAATATATGTCTGACCCGTAAATTGAAATTTGATGACGGATGGGTCCGTGGGTCATTCGTCCATTTAATTTTCTTTTAAAATCAAAAATTGAAAATTGATACCAATTTTTGATTTTCATGACTTTTTATCGTAAAAAATACGAAAGTGCTAAATCGAAAATATTTGACTTTTTTCCTTTCGGTAGAACATTGAAACGGAACTTATATTTTTGCTTTAGTCCTGTCAACAATGAAGAGAAAAATGGAACTGAACGGCAATTTTGTTTCTCCGACAATGTTGCTGTCTGTGGCAGGGCTTAGTTTTTCTATTTTCGACCAAGTCTAAAAACTGAAAATTAAAAATTGAAATAAATTTTCAATTTTTGTTTTTCGACCAAAACAATCCGAATCGTTGACAGAACTGCCCCAGTGGGAAGGGGAGGGTTCCATTCGCACGGTAATTTTTTTTGCCCCAACCCCCTCCCCACAGTCCCCGCTTCCTTACCCGCTTAATTAAGCAGTCTTGGAAGTCACGCTCTCTCTTCGCGGACTTTCGCGACGTTTGGGAACGTTTTGTGAATTTTGTGCCTTTTCGTGGCTCAGTTCTGTCCACTACGGTGAGCAGCGAGACCTTCGACGTGAGCCAAGAAGGAAAACAGTCTTAGTTTTCGTAACTGGAGCGGCTGATGTAACCATATCGAGACTTCCTCGAGCTCTTCAAGCGCCATATTGTAGAATATAGATTGGACTGGATTGGACTGGATTGAATTGGATTGGATTGGATTTGTAACGCGTGGATTTACAAAACACGTAATAGAGAACAAAATCCAGGGTTGAATTAAAACTCCACAATATCCTTGAAATAAGACTTGTTGAGCTGATCGAGCTAAATCCCACTCAATTTCATTATTTATAAACCAATCAGATGCGAGTAGATAACACGTCATTCAGGTCCAGGATAAAACCGTCGGGAAAAATAATAAATTTGATGTAAAATACTAAACTCAACATTTTCTGGGTCAATCCATTGACACCTTCCGTAAAATTTGTGTTTCAGTCATTCTGCTAGCATTCGTGTAGCTGTATCACTACACGCAAGGTTAACATTCGGCTAATAGTCTGTGATTATTGAAATAAAGGTGGTTGATACGAAAAGGAAAATGTACTTTACCCATGGAGTCGCAACACCGTACAGAAGGGAGCCCGCCCTGGCCTAGCCCTTGGCTGAAAGCCTAGGAGGGGCTCCGTCAAGGCCGGGCTGGAGACATGGCCCAACCACTGGCCTATCTGCTGGTGGTTTGCTGGCAGCCAGCCGTCAAAAGCGGGGGTAGGGGAGAATGTCTTTTACCGTCACCTTCACTTAGCTAGACTTGAGTTTTCAATGCCAAATAACGTTGATATTGACTGTTTGGCTG